TCCATCGCAGTGAACAGAGGAAGAGACCCGAGGAGGAGCCACTAACGTAGCCGTGGGTAAGAGTGAGCGCGTGAGGTGGCGCGTGCCAGAGATAGGCAAGGCCATTGTTGGCGACGGAGGAAGATGAAGACGGCAATGGAGGTTTAAAATGGATAGGGTTTTGCAGATATTTATTTTTCTTCGAATTTGTTTTCTTTATATTACAGAGAAAAATAAAAAATGGGCTTGATATAAGTTGGGCTCAAGGCCCATATATTTTTAAACAAAGAACGGTTTTAAACCGGTCCGATCAGAACAAAAGCAAAGTAACCGAACAGTTTCATGGTTTAAACGGATTCACATTTTCAAAATACTTAATACAAACTACTGAAATCGAAATAGAAAGATGTTGAAAAGATCCCTCTTTTTGCTTAGGACTCGCTAGTTGATTCAGAGGGTTTGCCTCTTTCCTTTTTTATTCATCTCTCTCTCTCATCTTCAAGACCGGCTTAATTGCGACGGTAGTTTTTGGAAACGAGATCTCCTTCTTTCCTTTGTTTTTCAGTCGCAATATTCACCTCTTCATTTCTTTTTTGCCTCTTCCGTGGTCAACAATCCCAATCATAGTGATGATTTCCTTCAAATTAGCAGCAGAATATTGTAGCATTAAGTGTGGTTTTGCGATTTTCGAATCTGACCTACTACCCAAACGTCTCTTCCTCCGGCGTGCAATCTTACTCAGCAGGCGTATTCACAGCTATTCAATGGCTGGAAATCTCCATTCAGCAATCAGAGCTTTACGGCTAGAAGATGCTTCTATTGTCTCCGTCTGACCCATGAACAGCAACACTGCGCCTGGCTACATAAAGCAAAGCAATCTGGACCTGAGCACTGAACAAAGAGGTTTTCGGTCGCATTGAAGCTCCCCCAGTAGACAAGAGAACTAAACCGGTTAATATCGAAGGCCCTCCTGGTTTCCCCCCACTTCGCCTGGATATGGCAGATGAAAACCACATATTGGCTTTGCAATATCCGTCTCATGCTGATGAGACAGAAAGACATGCCAGGATCATGCGGATTCATCAGTCCCTTGATGAACAATCGGCGGATTCATCAAGCAACCTCCGTAAGATAACTCTAGACATTGACAAAGGGAAAGGTCATGTCTTTGACTACGAGAATCAGAGAGTTAATGTC